TTCTTATTTACGTTAATATATATATATATATATATATATATAATTACACACGTGTATATATATATGCAGTGTACGTTTTCTTTGCTATGCCTCCTTAGATATATGAACATGATAATCTATGTATATATATATCTATATATACGTCGTTCCAGGTCTCCAATGATGCCGCCACACGCACATGTATTGGGTATGTACTTTTTATTATCAACTTATACTCAATATAAATTTACATACGTACATTCATATTATGTATAAAACGTACAGATACTAAATATACAATATATCTAACACATACACCTACATGTGTATTTGCAGTTATCAAGTTCCTTGGGCGTATTAATATATTGCTTCATGCATGTGCGTGTGCAATAAAAGTATATAATTATTCATGAAGGTTCAAACTATATGCAAAGTTCCTTGTTATGCAGATATTCTTCTGCTATATGAGGCACACTCAAACTAATAGCCAACTAAAGGCAAGCAATGGACGTCTCACAATCGTATGCACTGAGTGGTAGACATACACGGCCATTCAAGACCATTCATGATTAACATTATGGATCGGAACAGACCGAAATAGCCCTGCGATATACTATTTACACTAAAGATATTTATTGTTCGGATTTACAATAATAGTATATATATATATATATATATATATATTCATACTTGTCTAATTGATTTGAACCGTGTCTCCTTCCCAGTCCTCCTCAGAGAGTGTAGCCTCATTGCCATCCTCGCCAGCCATATCGTATATGCTGGTATCCTCATCTCGTATAGCTCTATTACCACTGAATTCACTATTTCCCTCAAACACAACTGTCCCGTCCATATCTACACTCGACCAATACGACCACACACCGCCTGCCGTCGACGCCGTGTTTCGCCTGAAGTCGCCGTCAAATACCAGCTCACTGGTAGGTAGGTGCACATTGGTGGCCACCACCCCTCCCCGTCCCTCAGCTTCATTGTCCGTAAACGTACCTACAACATATACTCTGGACCCTCGGCTCAGCTTCTGAACCCGTAACGCCCCACCCCTGGCACCAAACCCGTCATCGTTGGCCTGGTTGCTAAGATACAGACCGTCGACGATCATCTCTCCGACTATTTCCTGCACGTGTATAGCTCCGCCTTGATTCGCCTCGTTGCTTCTGAACTCGACCCCACGCTCGAACGTGACATCGCCAGCCATAAAGTCCAGATAAACCGCACCCCCGCCACTGTGTAGTGAGGCTTCAGGGTAGTAGGCTTTGTTGTCCTCAAACGTACCACTGATGGAGATGGTGTATAGGCTATCCAGGTAGATAACTGCCACGGCGGCTCCACCCGCATACCTATCCGTGTCGCTGGTACTCATCAGCAGGCCGGTGAACGTACAATCGCCATCTACAACCAGGCCAGCTGAATTGCCCACAAACACCCCCACACCAGGACGTTCACTGGTCATATCGTACATGTGCACATTGCTTAGGGATAGCTCAACTCGCTGAGACCCCGCAGTCCCCTCCGCACCCAACGTGTGGAAGCCTGCGGAACGCATACCGGGCGAGCCAGTCATACGAAGATCTATTAACTCAACCTTTTGCGTGTCGCTATTGGTCGCCTCCAGTATAGCTCCATCTGTAGAGTCGAAGGTGGCGGTGAGTGTGGGGAATGTGCCTGAGCACGCTACCCCTTGTATAGTCACACTGCTGCTGAACCGGATGGGGTTGGCAACGGATTTCGAGCCTCCTATATAGACCACATCTTCATCGTCTGCGGTCTCTATAGCGGTAGATAAGTCGTCATAACACAGTCCATCGATTACACCACCCTCGCACGAACACGCGTCCTGTGCTGTGGCAGGAACATTGGGCCTGTCCACATCCGTGCCACTCCCATCTGGAGTATCCTCATCCTCGTCTTCAGATAAACCATTTGTAGTAGCTGCCTGTGTGCTGGATGCTACAGATGCCGCTGAGCTGGATGTAGTAGATATTTGCGTGGTAGATATAGTGGATTCCACAACCGGTATTAGTCCAGCAACTGTATCCGCACAGCACAGACCACTGCGACACTTAAGCACGTTGTCTGTACAGCTATTATCAAACTCGCAGCATTCGACATCGGACAGCAGATCATTGCCCTCGTCACATACAATACCATCATAGGCTCCGCATGTTGTCAGAAACTCTCCTGTTGCTATCTGCACAGGCGATGGACTTGGCGAAGGAGCTATACCTTCCACACAACACAGCTCATCCAAACACTTGAGGAGCCCGTCGCACGCATTGTGCCACCGGCAGCACGCAATATCAGCCGCTACACCCGACCCTGCCGCACAAGTCAATTCTTCTTCGAAGGCCATAACGGCACAAGTGATGGTATTGTCTACCAGCTCAAGTTCGTCGTCGGGTGTATTAGTTTCTAATTCTGTAGCCGTATTAGTTATTACTTCCGCTGTTGTGGCTGTAATATCATTGCTCTCTGCGAATGTACTTGTAGCTGTGGTGTTGCTCGCGTCCTCTACAATCGTGCTTGCGTTAGTATTGTTATCTTCGGTAGCTGCAGTAGTGGCAGATATAGTAGCCGTTACTATAGTTAAACTATTATCAGTTACTATTGTACTACTATCCGTGTTCTGTGAAGTTGTTGACTGATCAGTCGTTTCCCCCAGCTGGAGCTGACAACACATTTCTTCTGAACACCTCGTCAAATCACCGCACATATTATAGTACCGGCAACACGTTATATCAGGAACTAGAGTCTGTGCGATCGAATTACACTGCAAAAAGTCTAGTTGACTTTTTTCACCGCATGTGACAGTATAGTCTATGGGCTGCGAATCAATTATCGATGCCAATGCGAGAACAGCTATACCAGCTGTGTTCTTCATTACGTAACGCATTTTGTCGGCTCTGTATATCAAACGTGTATAAAGGACAATGAGCAATTGTGTGTCACCATACGGTTCAATTGTATTTATACCACATTCATAAAATATATTCTCTTCGTGGATTTACTATTTATAATTTAGTGGACATGTACATAAAGCCATATACAACATGCGCTCTACCTCACTCCCCACTCTCCAGTACTCCATAAATACACACAAGGCGTCAGGCGTGGACTGGAGGCAGTGGAGGCCGGAGGATAATGATTCTTTTGCTCTATTCATCACAGTTTTTTTCATGTTTTTTTTTCATGTGAAGTGAGCAATTTATATTTTTATTTGGTTATTCTTATTACTGTACTATGCTTTTTCGTGACTTTTAAAAAAAAAACAAAAAAACAACCCCAAAATCAAAAATGCTCTAACTGTTCAATTTTCAGAAGGTTTTGCACTACGTGGTAATCCTATTATTACATCTTGGCTTTCAGGGGTAAATTTGGATTGAATATGTGTTCAATTCGGGTTAAATCGATATATATAGGTCATGTCTTATTTCAGTTTTTTCGGACGTGCAATAAAAATACTGTCTCGGCATTATTTTGGTATGATAGTAAATAGAACATACTACCTAGTACTGGCAGACCCGAATTATGAATCCTGATATTTCATATTCGTGTTTACTGTTTAGTGTTTTGAACCTCTGCCAGATTCTGACCTCTGGAGTAGAAAATGAAAATCAGATGGTGATCACTCTGATCAGTGAGCCCCTTCCTCCCCAGAGGGTCATTGTTATAAATTTCAAGCATTTTCAAGTTTCTGTGTGTATTTTTATAAGTACATACTGTACATATTTTTTAGTTTCAAGTTTTCAACTAAAAAAAGTTCCAAATATAGTTGGCAAGCTCATGCCAGTCGCTTCGTTGCATAACATATAAAATACACCAATGGATTCCCTGGTTGCACTATAGATCCATCTCAAGTAGTTCAGTTCTGAAAAGTTAAAAAGAAGTAAGTAGTAAAGTAAAAGACTAAAAGTACACATCCTGTATGAAGTCAATCTGAAGTATGAACTATGTAGTAGACTTTTAGTCAACAAGTAGTCAAGCTCAGCTCATGTATTTACCGATGTGAGACTCAGAGTCTCGCTGTCTCAGAATACACTCGCAGGAATACAATGTTTAAATACACAACAAGAGAGAGCAAATCGGAGAACTTCAAAGAATTTTATTTAAAAAACATAAATATTTATTTGGACAAAGTTCTGGTCCTGGTGTTTTTTATGTACTTTTAAAAAATACATCCTGTGAATTGAAAAAAGGTATTTATTTTATAAATAGAATTGTTTATTTTTATTTTTATTCTATATTGTATTTACAAAAAGAGAATCCAAGAGACCGAGATATGTAAATAGTTAAATACATAAACTGAGAAACGCCGAAGCAGACCACAGCGGCGCAGAGTCTGTCACTCACAAGTCACAACTCACAACTCGCAACTCGCAGCGGCGCCAGAAGCAAATATATGGTACTTTTTTAAAAATAAATAGACGGGCACTGGACCGCTGGTGAGTGGTGACTGGATCACTGAATCACAAAATCAGGGGATAAGGTTATTTTCCAAAGTTATAAAAACACTCCTAAAATTTGAAATTTGGCTTTTCTAATTTATGGTTCTTCTTTACAATTCTTTTTTTAAGTTTCACTATAAACCAAATAATTAACAAATATGACTTTATGCTCTGTGCGCCTTCAAGCCTTGTGTCGTCCTTGAACTTTCCTAAAAGTATTTCCTAAATATATACATTGATGCTCCATCAGAAACTCACTTTGACTCAGATGAAGTGACTCGGCTATGTTCTACACATCCCATAAACAGTAGTATATACACCTTCTAACAGGCCGAATAAAGAGATGGTGGACCTTTTTAAGAGTGCACCCAACGTATTCTCCGAAACGTGTGGTTGAGGGCCACGGTATATAGTCAATCAATGTTACGAGTACAATCCTTCTCCATTTTATTATATTCCTAATAGAAAGACACTTTCTAATAGAAGGAGTCACACTTTCTTCAAGTGTTTGGTGTGTATGTCTGTATGAACATCTATCCGCGTTTAGTATTTATTTGATGGCGGTAATGAAGGATACTGACAAGAAGAGACGAACATATACTCAAAAGAGAACAAGACTTGTCATGCAATCCTATGTGCCGAATCCGATGTATTTATTTTCTTTGCTTTTCAGCTTTTCATAAATAAATACAAGTACACACAAGTTCACAACTAAATACAACAACTAGTGAAGTACGCACAAGCCACAGGTGCACAACCATATAACTACTGATATATAAATAACTTGTACAAGTACAGTAGCACACAGCCACACACGCAACTCAGCCTCACAAGTTCACAACTACACTACACTCTTTTTTAAAAATTCACCAGAGTTTGAACTTTGAACTCTAGGCTCTGATCTTGACTTTATAGCACAAAAGCTTTTTTCTTTTACTTTCACTATGTATGTACTACTCGTGCAGTCGTGCGTAGTGGTGGGATTCCAATCTTCCATCGATCTATGTACATACATACATATTCACAGCTTATTGTCTATTGGGCAGAACATATATTGGTGGGGTATTTTTAATTATTCTCTCTTTTAGTTTATTTTTGTATAAAATATATTCGGGGGTTTTTTAAATGCATGTATTTAAAAAAATTAAAGCACTACGTCCTGGAAATTCTTTACTATCAACTCTGGTTTGAAGTTGAACGTAAAATATCAATCTAATAAAACATTCAAAAATTGTTCCATCGGTTCCAGGTATAATTAAACGTTAGCCTGTGAAAGATTTTTTTTTTAAACAAATAACAAAACGGTGTTTACGTATATTGAACGCCAAACAATCTGTGGCAAAATATATGCAGGGTTTGCACAGTTGTAGGGTATTTGTTTTTATTTCAGAAAACAAGATAATTACATAGGACGTAATCTTTTAAACTACACAAGGCTATGTTTCAGGCATAGCCACCTCAAAAAAGACGTTTCAGGAGGTTATGAGTGTTTCTATAACATTAATTTACACCTTTATACCCGTAGTCCTGCGCATATGCCACATAGCGTACTTACACAGACTCCATTTTATGCATAGCTCATACTACCCATCACTTGTCTTACAGAGAGCATTTGCCATCACAATTGGCTTCACACAGCAGAACCTGTGTTCTCGTAATCAGAGCTGAGGGCATAACACACATGCTCCGTGTACATACATACTTCTTAACTGACGTATAATATAATCCTATATTTATATGCATAAATAAATACGGGTATTCAGTCATGTTGGGCATATGGACTCTCCTAGGCATGCTCGCCATACTCTCTGGCATTGCATTGCACCATCTACATCAACGCATGCACTGTCCGCTGATAGCCTACGACTGGGCTGCTGAAGTGCAATGGTCATTTGATACTCGGCAGTCGACTGAGATCAGATCGATCAGTGTAAGTGGACTGGGTAATACGGTAGCCATTGTGTGCGCTTGTGGTATTTATCTTATGTGTGGGGTGTGTGGCCGCTGGTTAGATGTTGCAACCTCGTCTGATCTTTTGTTGTACATGTGCTGCAAACCGCCTTCGTACACATTCAGTATACGTCTACGCCTGCTGAATTCGTGTTGAATTTAACTTTCGTGTTGATTATCCGTTATACGGGTAGTACTACAGTGCGATGGTTACCATATGTTGGATATTAAACCACACGCCCACGGAAACTTAAAAAAAAGTGTACTATATCAGCGATGGTTACATACGTTTGTTTGTGTATTAGATTTTATTACTAGTGTGAAATATTTTGTGTTTGTTTGCCTAGTAGTGCTTAGTAGTAGTGTTTATTATTTATTGTTTGTACAACGGTTTGTTGTGTATAGGTTATTGGTATTCTATTGCTACCAGGTTGTTGTACTAAGACTTTTAGTACATGTACACGGCTCGTGGACTTGATATTGGTGTTCACATTCTCCAACTGAGTGCTTTTAGTTGTATATACATCCCTGCTCAACCACTGATTAGCTGATTTATCACTGCATAAGTAGTACGAACTGATGATAGTTAACTCCAATGTACGCCACTGATTTGGTGCAGATAGTCTCTGACGAGAATGTGATGTCTGTCATTCGCTCGCGAATCAGCTCATGGGAAGCTCAGCCTCCACTGACATTCACCACAAAAGCAGAAGCAGTTAACTATGGCGTAGAAGGCGGTCTGTTGAGAGACCTGGTGCACCATTGGAAGGTACAATGTANGTTTTTATTTTATTATTATTATTGTATATATATGTATATATATGTATGTATA